CCTCCTTGCCGCGCCCCCCGCCCTGCGCGCCCCCGCCCCGGGCTGGCGGATCGGAGAGCGCGCGGTGATGGGGGGACCCGCGCCCCGCCGGCCTAGCGCGCCCCTCCTGCCTCTGCGGCCGGGGGCCCGGAGCTGCGCGCCTGCGATCGGGAGGGGCGGGGACGCCCTCGGCCCTGAGATCTCGCCCGGGGCGCCCCCTCCCCAGCGCCCATCCACTCCTGGAAATCAAGAGGGCCCCTGGGTATTGTTCTTCCTACCTCCAGCTTGGGGTCTGGGGGCTCAGGAGGCCCTCTCCTCAAGATGCGGGGTCGGGGGTCTCCTGACCCCCCAGGACCCCAGGAAAGGCCTCAGCCATTGTTCCCTTCCCTCGAAAGTCTGGAGGTCCTGGCCTCTGGAAGCCTCTCCCTCGACTCCGGAAGGGTCCCAGGGATTTCTTCTCCCTCCTTCCAGCTGCGAAATGGGAAAGGAGGCAGCCGCAGCCTCTGGGGTAAACTAAGGATTCCCTTGCCCCCCACACACACCCAGGAGGGCACCCAAGTATCCTCTCCCCACCCTGTAATTGTGGGCATGGGTCGAGGGGGCCATCCAAGAGCTCCACCCTCCCCCAGTGCTTACCACTTCCTGCTGTGGGGCTGTGGCTGGGTGTGATCCCCCTCCCCAAAAGGTCAGCCAGAGCTCTCGCTACCCCCATCCCACCAGTGTCTGCCCAACAGGTAGTTCCAAGCTCCCCCTGCCTCCGGGGAGGGGTCCCAGCTCTTCTCCCTCCACCCCATCAATGTGTCCACCCAGTCCCCACGCCCCAGCCAGGGGCTCAGCGGCTCGGGGGTCTCCCTTTACGGGAGCTGTGTCCAGGTTTCCCCAAGAACCCAAGAGGTGATGAGAATCCACCATCTTCCAGCCAGTTGGGGAAACACGCTGAAACCTGTCCCCACCTTCCTGGCTATGCGGTCTAGAATCTGCCTCCCTCTTTCTGGATAGGAGGGGTCCCCCACCACAGTCCAGCTGAGGGAAGAGGCATTCTGCATCTTCTGTCCAGGAGAGTAGCTGTCCCCTTGTCATCTTGCAGGAGGCTCCTGTCCTCTCCCCAGCTACATAGGAGGGGACTCAGCTGTCCTTTGCCTCCCATTTCCCCCAGACAGAGGTTCAAGAGCTCAGCTTGGTCCAGCGGCTCAGTGGGAAGCCAGCCAAAGGTCTCCCTCCCCACCATGAATGCTCAAATCTGCCACCCCTGACTCTGCAATGGGAACTCAGGCCTTGTGCTCTGCCTCCCAACCTCTTCCCCACAAGGGAACTGAGGTCTCTCTTCCACAGACCCAGGCTGCCCAGCATAGAGCCAGGATGGACAGAGGGGCAGAGCCATGGAGTTGGGCACTGGAGACCTAGTTTGGGGTCCCATGACTTCCATCCAGGTTGGGGCTGAGAAGGGAGGGTCCCCCCATGCCGGGCCAGGGTCCCCCAACTGTACTTCCTGGCTGGGGCTGGGGAGAGAGAGAGAAGTCTCCTGTGGTGAAAGACAACAGACAGAGCCAGTCCCTGCTCCAGTCCCTGCCCAGCCTGCAAAGGAGACGCCCTGGCCCCTGAAGATGCCACCACTGACCCTCTGTCCTCACCCTGCAGATCCTGTCCCAGAAACGACCGGCAGTTCCACAGCCGGGATGCGGCGCTCTGTCCTGGTCAGGAACCCGGGCCACAAGGGCGTGAGGCCCACCTATGAAGAAATCGACTCGGACTCGGAAGACCTGGACCCCAAACACGAAGATCTGGACCCAGTTTCTGAAGACCCAGAGCCGGATCCAGAAGACCTCAACACTGCCCCGGAAGACGTGGACCCCGGCTATGAAGACCTGGACCCCACCTCTGAGGAGCCCCAAGATCTGGACCCCATGTCTTCAAGTTTCGATCTCGATCCAGACGTCATTGGCCCTGTACCCCTGGTCCTCGACCCCGACAGCGAAGCCCTCAGTCCTGCCGCGGCAGACGTGGACCCGCTCTCCTCCAGCATCACTGCCGCCCCCGAGGTCCTGGCCTCCAGCCCTGCGGTGCTCCCCGCCCCAGCCAGCCCGCCCCGGCCCTTCTCCTGCCCCGATTGCGGCCGCGCCTTCCGCCGCAGCTCGGGGCTGAGCCAGCACCGCCGCACCCACAGCGGCGAGAAGCCGTACCGCTGCCCCGACTGCGGCAAGTCCTTCAGCCACGGCGCCACGCTGGCGCAGCACCGCGGCATCCACACCGGTGCGCGCCCCTACCAGTGCGCGGCCTGTGGCAAGGCCTTCGGCTGGCGCTCCACGCTGCTCAAGCACCGCAGCAGCCACAGCGGGGAGAAGCCGCACCACTGCCCGGTGTGCGGCAAGGCCTTTGGCCACGGCTCGCTGCTGGCACAGCACCTGCGCACGCATGGGGGCCCGCGGCCTCACAAGTGCCCGGTGTGTGCCAAAGGCTTCGGTCAGGGCTCGGCGCTGCTCAAGCACCTGCGCACGCACACGGGCGAGCGGCCATACCCGTGCCCGCAGTGCGGGAAGGCCTTTGGGCAGAGCTCGGCGCTGCTGCAACACCAGCGCACGCACACGGCCGAGCGCCCCTACCGCTGTCCGCACTGCGGCAAGGCCTTCGGGCAGAGCTCCAACTTGCAGCACCACCTGCGCATCCACACGGGCGAGCGGCCCTACGCCTGTCCGCACTGCTCCAAGGCCTTCGGGCAGAGCTCGGCGCTGCTGCAGCACCTCCACGTGCATTCCGGCGAGCGCCCCTACCGCTGCCAGCTCTGCGGCAAGGCGTTCGGCCAGGCCTCCAGCCTCACCAAGCACAAGCGGGTGCACGAAGGCGCCGCCGCCGCAGCCGCCGCCGCCGCCGGCTTGGGGCTCGGGCCTGGCCTGAGCTCTGCACCCGTCACGAGGCCGGGAAAGGTCTCCTTCCTGGGTCCCGAGGCTGTCTCTGTGCTGGGCTCTGGCCTGGGCCTTAGCCCAGGCCCCAGCTCTGGCTGCGGCCCGGACCCTGGGTCCCTTTCCAATCCCAGCCCCAAGCCCCTCTCTGGCTCCGGATCCTCCCCCAGCCCCGATCCTGTTGAATCTTCTGACCCTAAGCCTGGTCACAATGCTGACCCCGACCTTGTGCTCAGCCCTGACCGTGAATCTGATACCAGCCCTGACCCCCACCCTGAGTCCCAGCCTGACCCCTGCTCTCCCACCCGAGACACTGTCAGCCCAGCCTTCCCTGCTGGTGAGAGTCTGGAGCGGGTTGAGGAGCAAGGGGCACTGCTGGGGCCTGATGGCTGAAGGGGGCACCGCAGGGCGTCCACAGGGCCTGGGAAGTTGTGTGTTGTGCACTTAGTAAAACCCTCCCACTGCCTTCGCTCTGTTGTGGCTGCCTTTTGTGTTTTCTCCCCTGGTGCAGTGTTGGGCCCTCCAGCGGTGGGAAGGTGGGGCCAGGGCCAGCTACACATCTGGAGCGCTGCCCTCCAGATCCCTACCAGCTCCCCTACAGGATCTCCTTCCTCCTGTGGGTCATCACCGCCCCCAGGTCCAGCTTGTGGAGGTAGAGGGCGACTCCCTGGCAGGATGCCCTTCCTTCCGTTTTTCTACTCTTGCTGGGATTTCCAGTACGTTGGTTCTGGTGGTCTGACAATGGAGGCCGGTGTTGAGGGCAGCCCTAGCCATCAACTCCGGGAGCCTCCCCCTGACCCTGGAAGCTCACATAACAGCTACACCACTGGACAAATGGAGGCTGCACATTTATGTGTTCGACAAACATCTGCTGGCTCTTGCGTCTTAGCAGGGAGCAAGATAAACATGGCCTTGCCCTTAACAGAGCTTATCCATCATATTCATGAATATTCTCAAAAATAATTATAGAAGACGGACATTCTAGAAGAAGCATAGGCCTTCTGATTTAGATGGAAGGACAGGATTTTATCATCCCAATACCACTAATGGGATAATCGGCACTGTTTGCCTGCTTTGTGTGATGGTCTTGCATTCTCCCATTTAACTCTCCATAGCCCGGGCCAGGGATTTAGCTCAGTGGTTTCGACACCTGCTGCACAAGCCCAGGGACCCGAGTTCAATCCCCAGTACCAAAAACAAACAAACAAACAAACAAAAAACTCTCCATAGCCCATAGACTTGAGTGCCCCTACTTTGCAAAGGAGGAAACTGAAGCACGTGGGAGTTGAAGGGGCTCAAGAAAATGTAGACGCGGCAGGTGTCAGTGCCTAGATTTGAACTGCCTGCCCTGCAGAGCCCAAGTTCTTAACTGTTACACAGAAGCCTGTGCCAAGGCCCCAGGGCCACCCCGGGATGAGCGGTGGGCAGGGCTGCAGCAGAGCCAGGAGCTTGTCCTCCCAGAGAAGTGGGAAGCCACCAGCAGGCTCCGGCAGAAGACTGACAGAGGCACTCTTTCCAGGTGCTTCTGACTGCTGGGTGGGGAGTGGAGTTGGGGGTAGCAGGAGGAAGGGCGCTAGGTCAAGGGGGATGCTGTGATGGCGCAGGTCAGGGATGCTGGGGGTTCTGGGTTGAGGCTCTAAGTGGTCCAACTTGGTTTAGGAAATGGGGTGTGCTGACGGTCTGGATGAGGTGGGTGGGCAGAGAGATTTCCGGGAGGAAGGGAGAGGATAGGTTTGGGATAGGTAGCAGGGTCATCACCTAACACCGAGGAGGCTAAAGGGTCAAGCTCTGGGAGTCACGGGGTTGGCACCAGCCACCCACCGGTCAGGGCGGAGCCAGCATTACTCTTCGGCGCTAGGACCGCGCGACCGCGGTCTCCGGCTGGGGCACACCAGCGCGCGGCTCCGGGGGCGGGGGCGGTGTCTCGGCCCAGAGGGTGGGGCCAAATAAACCACGTGGGTGCGGGCGAGCTGGTCACGTGACCGCGGCGTGGGTCAGCTGATGCAGGAGGGTTTGAAGCGGCGCCGCGAGGGTGTGAGGCCGCAGTGACAGCGGCGGGCGTTCGGACCCAGGCTGCCCCGTGGCGCCCGCCGCCTCCCGCGCTCTCCGCCCGGGCATGGCAGCCCCTGGGGGCCGGCGTGGCTCAGGTGAGGGCGGGCGGCGGGGCCGGGGAGGGGCAGGCTCTGGGACCTCGGGCTGCGGGATCCCGATCTTCTCTCCCCGAACGCAATCGGAGCTCTTCGTCGCAGGCAGCGGGGCGGCGAGCTTCCCAAGTTTTCCATCCAAGCCTCAGTTCTGATTGGCCCACTTGGCTGGAGCTCAGACAGCGGGGACCAGCTTCCTGGATCCTCAAATGAGATCCCTAGCTTCCCCTCCTGAATCCAGAAGGCAGATGCTCACTCAGCTTCCCTAAACTCGGGCGGAAAGCTGGAGGGATTGACTGTAAATCCAGGCGACTGACTCAATTTGAGCCCGTGAAATCCAGCCTTCCTAAACTGAGGTTGTGGCTGCCCAAGCTTCCAAGCCCTTCGGAGGTCTCACGGGGAACCTGGATGATCCCTGGGCTGATCTCTTTTTGAGCTGGCCGATAGGTGTCTCAGATCCTAGGCGCGGGGTGGTCTCGCTGTGATCCCAGATAGGGAGGGAGGCAGGACCCGCCCTCTGGCTTCCCTTCTACTGGATTGTAAACAACAAGAGCATCCAGGTTCCAAAGGGAGGAGCCGCGATCTTGGACCTCCCTATAACACAAGTGGTGACTGCGCCCATATTTATCCTGACAGCTTTTGGGCTGGGGTGTGACTCAGTGGTAAGAGTTCTTGCCTAGCATGTGCAAGGCCCTGCGTCTGATCCCCAGCACCACACACACACAAAAAGTATCTTGGCCTGGGATTTAGCTCAGTGGTTTCGCCGCCTGCTGCACAAGCGCAAGGACCCGAGTTCGATCCCCGGTACCAAAAAAAAAAAAAAGATGTCTTGACATCTCAGCCAGGCAGGGGCCGGGGCCTGGAAAAAAAGCAAAGTTCTCCCTGTAGAGGGAGTTGTGTGTGTCTGGCATAGTTTGGGGCTAGAGTGACTGGCTGTGACCCCAGCAGTTGCTGAGATCTTGGATGTTCCTCTTAGGCTCAAAGGAAATAAGCAGTGACTGGCATAGCTTCTGCTTCCCAGAGAACTCATTAAGTTCTTTCCTGCACTGTCTTGCCAAATTCTCAGAGCGAGAGACTTTTGTTTTTGTTTGTAGAAAGCGTTTATCACAGGATTTCACTGTGTAGCTCAGGTTGACCTTGAAGTTTCTATATAGCCTAGGCTGGCCTTGAACTCACGATCCTCCTACCTCAGCCTCCTGAGTGCTGGGATTACAAGCATGTGCCACATCTGGCAAGATACATGGTTTTCATTTCCACTTTTTACGTGAGGGGTTTAGGGAGATATCCTGGGTCTGGAATTTGGCCCTAGGGCTTTGTGATTTCCCGGACTTGGGATAAAGTAAATTGGTCCACACATGTGTTTCACTGTTATTTGGCAGGGGATTGGACTCAGCATTCTGGGGATGCTAAGCAAGCACTGTACCTTTGAGTCACATCCCCAGCCCCCAGTTTTATTTTTGAGACAAGATCTCGCTAAGTTGTCCAGGCTGACCTCAAACTTGCAATCCTCCTGCCTTAACTTCCCAGGTAATTGAGATATCAGACATGTACCACAGCACCTGGTAGCTTTTTTTGTGTGTGCCTGGGATCAAACTCAGGACCTTGTGCTTGTGAGGCAGGCATTGGCACCACTGAGCTAAATCTCCGCCCCACAGCACCTGGTAGCTTTATTACTGTCCTTGTCAAGCACCCATTCTCCCGGTGTGGTTTGTGAACCTGTCCACTGGATGGGGACCAGTTTTCATGAATTTAGAGGTTACTCTTCGGGTGTTTGTCCAGAGAAAACTAGAATATGGGCTCTGCTATGCGCTTCTACCTGGATGCTAGAATTGGGATTTTCCCAGGGGCCTCGAGTATTCCTTCTCTCCCCACACACCTGCAACAGGGATATTGATGGAATGTTCTGATAGTCACCAAGTATCAGCCCCTGTGACAAACACTTTCTAAGTTTTTTTTGTTTTTTGGTACCTGGGATTGAACTCTGGACCTTGTGCTTTCAAGGCAGGTGTGGTGCCACCGAGCTAAATCCCTGGCCCTGACCAACACTTTCTAAGTATCAGGCCCTGTGCTCCCCTGTGAGAGGATTATGGTTCCAGTTAGCAGGCAGGGAAACTAAGGCTTAGTGAGGTGAGGTTGAATCTCTTGTCCGAGTTGCTAAGCAGCCAGGTTGGGAATCAACTCAAAGCCCCACTCAAGACCTCTGAGAAGCACCACTGCGTAAAGCCACAAAATGTTGCTGAGTTTCTTTTTTTCTCAGACCTCTCAAAGCACTTGGGCTGGAGCGTGGGGCTGAGGACAGGAAGGGATCTGCTGGGGAAGCAGGCGATGGAAGCTGCCAGGGCCTGGTCCTCACTGCCTCTTCCACTCCCATAGAGACGGAGCGCCTCCTGACCCCCAGCCTTGGGTATGGGACCCAGGCGGGGGCGCCGCTGGCCCCTCCGACGCCTCCAGAAGAGGAAGACCTTCGCCGCCGGCTCAAGTACTTTTTTATGAGTCCCTGTGACAAGTTCCGGGCCAAGGGCCGCAAGCCATGCAAGCTGATGCTGCAGGTGGTCAAGATCCTGGTGGTCACTGTGCAGGTAAGACCCGCCCACCCAGCAGGGCCCCGGCCGGGTGCTCCCTGGAGGGACGGGCTTGGGCACCGGAGCCTCGTCCTGACCCCTTATCCACTCAGTGACGGGACAGTGGCCAGGGCCAGTAAGGAAGCCATCGGAGATTTAGGGTTCAGCGGCTCCTTTTAGGCTCACAGAGGCCCCTGAGGTCCCTGAGGTCCTGCCAGTGCTTTTGCCTGGTTGGTGCTACTGAGACGTGAAGGGATTTGTCCAGAGTCGAACAGCAGCCGACACAGGGAGGTGGGATTGAACCTACGGTCTATTGTCACCTAGACTGTCAAAGAGAACTGGCCCAGATGATTCTTTCTCAGCCATGCCAGGCTCAGTACGGGCTCTGGGGACCCTGGGATGAATCACATTCAGTCCCTGGCTCAAGGCTGGGACTTTAGGCCTCTGCCCCTCTAATTCCCCTCCGCAGAGGGCCCGATAATGGCTCTTCCCCTGGAGGTTTGGGTGTGGCACAGAACCTGCATCCGGGAACCCTATAAGGCACCTTCACTGCGCCTGCGAGACTTTTGAGCCCACTTGGGGCCGAGCGTGGGGGCCATGGTGATGGATAGGGCAGGGGGGTCATTCCGGAAGTGGGGTTTTCTCAAATCAAGCAGAGGAGCACACAGGTCCCTGTCCCACTGGGGACGCCTTCGGGCCTCTCTCTCCCCTCTTCATCCACCCATGTACTGGCGGGGCCAACCTCCCTGGCCATTTCTCCAGCT